ATACGTATAAAGAAAATAAAGCCCTATCCTACCATGATTAAGTGCACAAGAGAACTGATGACCTACTTATCCCGAGGTCTGACCCCTCTTATTTAGCCTACAAATCGTTCCAAGAAACAGCCCTTCAAATTTCTTTTTTGAACCATCTCAACTAGCAAAATTCTCGAGAACTTTGTTGTTGCCCGTGACTGGCTTTTTGAAAAAATCGTCCAAGGAAAGTCTTTTCATACTTTCCTCGTATACTTGAGTTGTGCATGGTCATTGAAGACCATGTGCAAAGTTCCGAGCGAAAAGAATGAAATCTCCACGAGAAACAGCTTCTGGGAAAGTTTACTTGTGGGACGGAATTAGCCACAGTGGGCGAGACCGGAAGTGATGTTGTGAGGAAGTTCCCAGGAAGGTTCGCCGTGAAACCCGTTCATGTTTACGCTTTCAACACGTCTGCACGTGTTGGTTCCCCACCGGAAACAATTGTGACAGTTATACAGCAGGTTCTATCTAATAGTCTCCCTAGCTATATGGATTATTATCAAAGTCAACGCTTATATTCCATTCTTTTTGCTATGCTCATGAAGTAAGCGACCTAATGTATCGGTTTCTGCTGGGAATGGAAGTGGGACTATTACGTGGACGGTTCCTTTAAGTTCGCTTACGAATTTACCCGTGGAGCAACACCACACCTCTGAAACCAAATTTGAACTGTGCTTTTGTGTAACTCACACAGAACTTCTTTCACAAAAGTTCCTCTTTACTAATGCTTCCTTCTTGATAAATATTTGTTCTGAAAAAATCAATACCTGGAAGATGTGCATTTCTGTAGGTGTGGCCGATCGTTTATTGCGAGTGTCTTCACGAACGATGAACAGCAGGATGTTATTGTAAGTGTCGCGAGGATCGCTAGACACATGTGCGGTCGGCTGCTCTATCAAATCCAATGGGAACTGCTCGACAAGGTCCTGAATTGGCTTATTTTTGAAAAAAAAATCAATATTGGCGATTAGGAATGTACTTCTGTCTTGAAGAGACACCTTATCGCGATTCTCAAAAAAAAAAGATTTGGCTTGAGCACTTGTTTATATGGAAATAGAAGGCTCATTCATATTTTTTTATATTTTTTCTATGCTCTAAAATTTTAGGGTTCCTAAGACTCCCTTAGAATCCAAAATCTTCGAAAGTAACCAGAATTATACTCTCAGTTTCGCTGTTAATTCCATTTGTGGTCCTCGAACCTTTGGAAAGGTCCAATACCTCTACGATTCCCCAGAATATATATTTACATATTTGTTCATACTTTTTGTTTAACACTTAATATGTATTCATACCATTTAACGTTTATTAATTGTTTTGGTCATTTATTTTTTACTTGCTAGTTTTCTTATTTATTTATTTGTTTATTTATTTATT